AAGTTTGAAAAAGACAAAGAAAAACTAGCTAATCATAATTATGTTTATGTACGTGAATACAAAACAGTCGTTTTTTCTTATTAGTTTGCTATTCTAACCAATCAAATAAGATGTTATTATACACAACAATAGATGTCGCTAAATGTACGTCTGTGATATTCTTTTCTAATAGTTGACTTCAATTATATAAGTATATACGTGTGAAAACAAGTGTGTTTTATGCAAGTGCATATCAATTTTCAACAATGGTTAATGACATTGAATAAGAGAGCTAGAATATAAATTTCAATCTCCTATGCCAAGAAAAATTCTGTAGATATTTGATTTTTCATTGTAATAAATAACATTTCATTATACGAAATATATTACTGATAAAAAAATTATCATACTCTTTATTTTTTTTGGATATGTATCATTTCTGCTGTATGTTTATATTCTAAAAGTAAGAAATGATTCGATATAAGTGCAGAACAATGTATCGACTTTTAATCCTTATAAGATCAATAAAATAGAAAAGCAAGATGCGCCCATCATTTCAACACGCTTAATTGAAATTTGATACTAGATTAAAGTCTTAAAGATATTCGTTTTTGCTCTAATGTTCATCGATCGTATTTAATTCTGTTTCATTTCTTTTAGAAAAAAACCAACGATTTTTATTTAATATCATGAATACACTTTCTATTCGTGGTCAACAAATGGCTGCATGTGTATCTCCATTAATAAATAATTATATGGCTGTTCAAAAAAATCCTTATGATGATGAATTAAATCCTAATGGTATATGTAATTTTGGTGTTGCAGAAAATTATTTATGTGAAGATGAATTAATATCAAAACTTGAATCAATTCATATATGGGAAAAAAATCATATATATTATCCAAATTCTTTAGGTCAAATATCATTACGAAAAACTTTATGTAATTTTTTTCAAAAATATTTTCATCTTAATTATCAACTTGATCCACATCGTATGATAATTTCAAGTGGTTTAAGTGGTGTTATGTCATTAGTAAGTTTTCTTATTGGTGACAAGGATGATGTTTTACTCATTGCATCACCTTACTATACTGCTTTTGATCATGATGTATCAGCATTATCAAATTGTGCAATATTTCCATGCCCATTACTTGAACAAGATACGGGTAAATTTACATTTTCAGTTGAAATTTTTCAACATGGTTATACTAAAGCAATAAATCAAGGTCTTCATCCATGTGGAATTATTATTGTTAATCCACATAATCCATTAGGTGATATTTATGATGAAGAAACAATTCGACCTGTGTTAGAATTTGCTGCTGAAAAACAATTACATGTTATTATTGATGAAATTTATGCATTAAGTATATTTGAAAATGAAAAAACTTTTCCATCATTTTTAAATTATAAATCTATTATTGATCCTGAACGTACACATTTTGTTTGGTCATTAAGTAAAGATTTTTCATTAAGCGGTTTACGTTTAGGTGTACTTTATGCTGGTTCAAAAGCATTATGTTCATGTGGTGCAGCAGTTAATTTTCTTCAAGTACCATCAACTATCGTTCAAGAAATTTTAGCTGTAGCTTTATCTGATTATCAATGGATTGATTCATATATAAAATTAAATCGTTTACGTTTAACAACACAATATGAAAATGTTAAAAAACAAATTGAAAATATTGATTCACGTATATATGTTCGACCATCAAAAGCTGCATTTTTTCTATGGACTGATTTTCGTTCAATATTACATGAAGTTACATTTGAAGAAGAAAAACGATTATTTCAAATTATATTTGATCACGGTGTTTATATCGTATCGGGTTTTTTTCTTGGATGTTCTCAACCAGGATGGTTTCGTATTATATTTTCTGTAAAAGAAACATGGATTGAAGAAGGGATTAAACGAATAAAACTAGCATTAGATGTTTATCGCCATTCAATAATTCCTTCGAATGTATAGACAGATTTGTTTATACACACATATCTTTAGTCTATTCTCTTTCTACACTTTGTGTTAACTATAAATTTATCGAGGTTATCGATCTTTGTTTTTCTCTCGTCTACTGTATGACACTTATATAAGACGAAGAAAGTCACTTATAAACTTTATTATATCTTTTTGTTTGAATTTTACACTGTGTGAGTATAGAATATCTAAATTTGTTTTTCTGTAAAATTTAATTAATTATTTAATAATAAATTAGGACAATGTCATCACTTATTTTTCTACTATTTCTTGTTGGTACAATCTCGGCTGCCTTTAAAGGTGAACGAGAATTTGAAGTAAAGCAAGCTAGTTTATTAAATCTTGGCCGAACTTATACGTTAGTAATTTAATTATTATTTGAAATTGTTTTTTTGAAATAACTTTTAATTATTTAGAATAACTGAAACAGGAAAACTTAATGCTGGCGAAAATGCAGGACGTTTTACAATTGAAAATGATATGTTAAGCCCTCGCCGAAAACTTATCTTACTTGAAAATGGTAAACCACTTTATGAATTTAAACATAAAATGGGACATCTCTATCAAAAGTAAATAAAAATTAATTATTTTATTTAAAAAAAATTTTTCTTTGTTTTTATTTATTTAGATGGCATGTCTATGATTCACGAACAGGTGAAACAATTGGTACATTTAGACATCGTCCATCACTTATTCATGATTCATATAAACTTACATCAACTAAACTTGGAATGTATCGTATTACTGGCAAGTTTGGTAATCGAACATTTAAAGTTAAACGAGATGGTCAAAAAGTATGTCTATTTATTTCGAATTATTTTTTTTTCTATTTATGAAATCTTTTATAGGTTGCTGAAATTCATAAAGATCGTCTTCATCTTCATGATACATATAGTGTTAAAATTCAAGCTAGTCAAGATCCAGCTGTTATTTTACTTATTACTATTGGTATTGATGAAATTCGTCAACATTAATTTCATTTTTCTCATTTTTTGTTTCTATTTAAAAAAAAGAATAAATTTCGAAAATTAAAAAAATCTATTTTTCTTTAATCAATGTGTTAAGGATAAAAACATGTAATAATCCGCCGCATATGAACTTTAAAAAGGATCGAATGATTATTGACACTATATCAAGAAGAAATTGTCTTTTCTGATATAATTAATCGTATAAGTTGTTTAATCATTAAAAATCTTAGATAAGATAAAATTATATTGTATTTCGATTGTATTAACATATAAATATATCTCAAATCAGTGGCGGATTTAGGGGTGGGCGATGGAGGCGGTCGCTCCCATCCCTTTCAGAAAACTTTGTTGATTTTTTACAGCAAAAATGAACAAAAAATTAGGTTCACACTACTTCGATTGGACCCAAAAATAGTTTTCAGCCGAAATCGATCTCCCCTACTCAGGTTTCGCCCCTATTTACTCAAGAATCGCCCCTCCCTTTCAAAATCCTAGATCCGCCCCTGTATTAAATTTGATACTCCGAATTGTATTAACATCTTTTAGATCAATTAGAAGACAGTTTCGATTTGTATACTAATTTGACGTTTGTTTATTCACAATTTTCTTGTTAAATTCGATTATTCAATGCTATTTTGTATGAACTATATGAGATAAATCGAATTTTCTTTTTCTCTTCCTTCCGGATCAATTAATCATTGGTCAGTTATAATTTTCATCTATACAAATAACAACCAATTAACCACTACGAATGAATATCATCACCTCATGAAAAAAAAATGTAGGCATATTTAATGATCTACATTTTTCATTTTCTATATTCAAATTAAAAAGACGATGTTTGGTTTACCTGCTTCTTCCCGCTATCTCACTTCGAATGGAACAAACATTCAACAACAACAACAGCAACAAAACAGGTATATAATTCTTATATTATTCAATTAATATCAATGAAAATTTTGCTTTAGATTTCATCCATATAGTTTTAAACGTGTAGTAAAAAAATGTGCATTTGATATTGATTCACTTTTAAAACCAACAAATAATTCAAGTTATATAGATGATACTGAAGATGGTTCGAGTGATGATGGTCATGTTCATCTTGAATCATCTTCATCTTTTTGTAATTCACCTATATCAGCGTATACATTTCTGAATCAATTGAAAACCAATGAAAATTTAACATTATCATCATCATTTGAATCTGATCATTCAACTATTCAAACAAAGTCAAAACGTATTCGAACAATATTTACACCAGAACAACTCGAAAGACTTGAAACAGAATTTGAAAAACAACAATATATGGTTGGAAATGAACGATTGTATTTAGCAAAAAAAACTTGATTTAAGTGAAGCACAGATAAAGGTAAAATGCTTTTTTTCTCTTTTTCAAATGATTAATCTTCTTTTTCTCAAAAAAAAAGATATGGTTTCAAAATCGTCGTATTAAATGGCGTCGTCAAGCACTTGATACTCAACAATAATTAATTTTTTCTATTGACTTTTTTTGCATGTGTTAAACTAATAAATTGTTTTTCCACATCCTGTAAATGTGCATCTTTTTTTCTCTCTCTCGATATTGTTTACCTGCTGGTGGAATCAGCCAATTCACACATTCTTGTCAGTAAACAAAATCGTATGCCAATGTGTGAGTATTCTCACCAATTGAGAAAGAAATGATCATTGTTATTAGTTTTTTTATACTCGTAACACCTTCAACTATTCTTACAAGATAAAATTAAATGATCAATTTAATCTTTGATAGGTTTGCAAAAAAGAGTGAACTAAACATCGATAAAAGCTGATTGGATTTTATAAATATCAGACTTATATAGACATGTATAATGGCAACAAATAGTATTCTACATTTATTATTAAATCTTATGAATTTATCGCATTAATTTTGTTTTTATGATTAGTCATCTCTTCGTAGAATGTGTTTCTTTTGAATAAAAATATTATTCATGTACGTCATACATATGAAATTCTGTTATTGCTATTACGAGCTTTTGTAATTCTTACAGAATTTTGTTTCTATTATACAAGTCAATGATTATCATTATTCAAAAATATATCAATTAAATTCATTTGTTGATGTATGTATTTGTTCATTTCTTCTCTGAAATCTTGGATTGCTAAAATGAGTTAAATATGCAAGTGATGATATTGTATGTAATGGTATAAGTCCATCAATAATCGTTTGTCGTCGTGATAAATGTTCAGATGGTATTCGATAAATTCGCATACCTGTAAGTTTAACAGAATTTGGTGAACTAACTTCAACATATGGTGTTGAACGTGTACATTCGATTATTTGTGGATAAAAATCATCTTTTAAAAAACTGTAGAAAAAATGGAATACATAAAAGACAAAAACAAATAAATAAACATGAAATTAAACATATTAAAATGATGAACCAATCAGTTCGACTTAATTTTGTTTGTTCATTACATTCATAACCAGAATAAGAATGATCACATAAACAAAATTCATACCAATTAATAAGATAATCATCAACATGAATACATTGTCCATGAAAACATGTTTCATTTACTATACATGGTATATTTAAGTATGGAATACGCATTGTAAACAATACATTTAATAAAGCGCCAAGAAAGATCATTATTACATGTGAATCAAAATTTTTTTTTAGTTGAAAGAATAATCAAGAAAATAAATGGAATTAAATACTTTATATATATCTAAAGTACTATCGCACGTTAAGACATATATTGAAACTATTTAATTTGTCTTTTGTATAAAATAAACAAAAGAGTTCCTTTGTATGCATATAACTTAATATTTTTTTTAGTTAGTTAAAAACGAGTGGTGCTCGTCGATACGATTCGTCTGATCCTTGACTGGAAATAATCTTATCATTATCCATTACCTCCTATAGAAGTCTCTTATGCAAGTAACACAATACTGCTAAAAAAGCACCTTAACTATTTTAGACCATCATCTCCCGCACCACACTGCAAAAATGCTAAGCAGCATTATTACCACAATATACATTAAATTTTAAAATAGAAAGCTTTTTTATTGTTTTTACGAAAACTTCAACAGAAGAAAAATGTACGCACCATTAGCACTACCTATGTGTTCATTAACGCCAAAATATTTAATAATCGGATTCATAGTTTCTTTCCCTTCTATTGCGCGCAATAATTTCATGAATTTTATATATGATGTCGTCTTCGATCCTAAAAGTATCGAGATCTAGTGTAGTGAGTGCCTAGATGAAAAATGGAAGGTAAAATCATGGTATAGATAAAGAGAAAATGACAATTACTGTGTTATACTGTAATGCATTAGCCAAATGCTGTGCTCCAACATTTCCGATTTGATTGCTCGAAAGATCTAATGTTGTCAATGTCTATACGACAAAGAGAAGATAGAGCCATGCTATAGATGAAGTGAGAAAGACAATTACTGTGTTATGCTGCAATGCATTAGCTAAATATTGTGCTCCAACATCTCCGATGTGATTAGATGCGAGACCTAGTTCAATGAGTGCCTATATGAAAAAGAGAGGATAAAGTCATGATATAGATGAAGAGAGCATGGCAATTACTTTGTTATTCTGTAATGCATTGGCCAAATATTGTGCACCAATCCTCCCGATTAGATTCTGGGCGAGCTCTAGTGTGGCGAGTGTCTAGATAAAAAAAGGGCGGATAAAGAGACGATATAGGTAGAAACAGAATGAGAACTACCGCGTTGTTTTGTAATCCTTCACCCAAGTGCTGGGCTCCAACATATCCGATCATATTATTGTAGAGATCTAATTTTGTAAGTGTCTATACGAAAAAGCGAAGATAAAGGCATGCTATAGGTGAAATGAGAATGACAATTACTTTATTATGTTGTAATGCAATACCTAAATGTTCTGCTCCAACATTTTTAATTTTATTATGATCGAGATATAGTGTAGTGAGTGTCTATACAAAAAAGTGAAGATAAAGCCATGCTATAGAAGAAGAGAGAATGGCAATTACTTTGTTGTGTCGCAATGCATTACCTAAGCGTTGTGCTCCAACATCTCCGATTTGATTGTTAGCGAGATGTAGTGTGGTGATTTTCTAAATGAAAAATTGCAGATAAAGATATAGTATAGATAAAAGGTGAAAGACAGTTACTATGTTCGCTTGCAATCCACCAGCCAAATGTTGTGCTCCAACATCTCCGATTCTATTGTCGCAGAGATTTAATGTTGTCAGTGTCTATAGAAAAAAGAGAAGATACAGCCATGTAATAGATGAAATGACAATGATATTTACTGCGTTATGCTGTAATGCATTAGCCACATGTTGTGCTTTAATTTTTCTGATTTGTTTTTTGGTGAGCCCTCGTGTGGTGAGTATCTAGGTGTAAAAGTGCAGATAAAGACTTAGTATAGATGAAGAGCGAAGGGCAATTACTGTGTTGGACTGTAATGCATTAGCCAAATGTTCTGCTCCAATCGTTCCAATTTGATTGTCGGTGAGATCTAGTGTGGTGAGTGTCTAGTTGAAAAAGTGCAGATAAAGATATAGTATAGATAAAGGGAAAACGACAATTACTGTGTTCACTCGCAATCCAACAGCCAGATATTGTGCTCCAACATCTCCGATGTGATTAGATGTGAGACCTAGTTCGATAAGTGTCTATACGAAAAAAAGAAGATAGAGCCATGGTATAGATTAAGACAGAATGACAAATACCGTGTTATATCGCAATGCATTACCTAAGCGTTGTGCTCCAACATCTCCGATTTGATTGTTGGCGAAATGTAGTGTGGTGATTATCTAGAGGAAAAGGTAAAATTGAAGACATGAGATAGATATAGAGATACGATGATGAGTCGCTTTCTTATGGCTGTTTATAACGAAAACTGAGGTTATTCTTATTGCGTTGTAGAGTGTGTGGATATGAGTATGAACGTTCCTATGATCTTGCCTGCTGTACTATCTTAAAAAATTTCGTGTAAAAGCTGGGTTGGAAAGAAGTTATCAAGAGCGACACTTGTATAGGAATTTTTTATGTGTCATTTATTATAATTGTTAAATTTTTGGAAAGAAATGAGAAATATCTGTGTATCCAATGATATATTGTAAATTATTTCTGTGCAAAATAAAGATGAAGCACTGTATTATGTTCGGAAATAATGATGCAGTGTAGTTCCTTTTCAAGTTTTTTTTCCAGTGACATTCTTTCATAGCCTTGGATGAGATTCGATGGATATTTTGTATCAGACATTCATATCAATCATGTAATTTTACTTCACTCCGCATATGATTTGTAGTGGTGAAAATATATGTTGATTTCAATAGCTGCTTTTAATGATACCGCAAAATAGTGCGCATGAAAGAACATTGATTTATAGAAATTGAAGGGTGAAACAATTTATTCGATGATGTTAGATTCATTCTGAGTAGAACACGGACACAGGCGTAAAACGTACTATAGAAAATATCCCTCACGGATTATCTACAGCTTTTCATTCTAGTAATGAATTATTCTCGAAACTTGATCGTCGGGAAAATGTCCTTTAGATAGAATGTGCTTCAGAACAATTATTGTCGGGAAAATGTAGTTTCGGAGTAATGTTCCTGGAAAATATGTTCCACCTTTATGGTATGGGTGTGAGTGATGTGAATGCTGTTGTGGAATAGTCTTCTGTCCATCTATCCCTATGCTCACACTCCTCGTGCTCTGAAAGGAGCATTTGTTGTAGACCTTCACCATGGAACTTTGTAGGATTTCATTCATAATAAGATAAACAGTTCGTCAATTATTAATTTCTTACAAAATCTAATTTTTATTACCGAAATGGTATCAAAAAAAGTGTTTAGATACATGTAAATATATAAATAATAGTGTTTTTTTTCAAGACATTATATGGTTATAACATCATATCCAGTTTTAAACGAGATATATTTAGACGAGATTAAAAGAACGAGAAAAGGAAATTATTCTTTGCTGATTATTAGAATATTATGTTCGTATTGTCATAATGCAAAAAATGAATTTTTGAGAGGATTAATAACTGATGAATTAGCTTGAGTGACATATATTTTGTTCACATATACTTTATTGCAATGATTCAACTTATCTATTGATTAGAGGAATGAAAAATAATTTGAGTCATTAAGTGTAAGTCAGACAATCACGTTAGAAAAACTTTACCCGATATTGATCATAACTGTCAATGATGCTGTTAAACCGTTGACACACATTTCTCATTGAACACAAAATTGTAATATATTTTTGATGATCCAAAATACGGTAGACAAGTTCTACCGGTAATGTATGAAACGTAGTGCTATTTTGATTTGACATTATAAACTGCTGTTGAAATACGTGCTGTGTAGTCTTATATGTTGATTGTATGATGTATTGTTAGTTTTTTCTTATTACTGAATGAATTGATACTTGGTTTGTGCCACTGTAAGCGAATATATAAACTATTTTTTCCCCAGTTTTTTTTCACATATATGATCATATATTATTTCTTTCACATATCTATCTATCTATCTATCGGGTATTTTCCTCTTCTTCTTCATATATGTTCATATGGCATTTTCTTCTTTTCTTGCACATGTATGTTCATATAGGATTTTTCCTTTCATTATCTTAATTTGTTCTTCTTCTGTTCTTCTAACTTATATTGAAACTGCCAAGTGATGAATGAAAGGATATCACTTATGCATTTTCCTAGAATATGTTGTATTACAAGAAATAGGATTAATCAAACTAACCATTTCTTGTCCTATAAACACTTGCGTTTTATTCTTAAATAAACGAACTGTTATTAAGCTTCCAAAACTATCATCTTCTTCTACAAGCTACGATAACACTGTGACAACCACAAATATCGCACGACGTTGCATTTGCTTGTTAGAAGAAAAAATTAAAAAAGATGACATCAGTGACAAAATAATAGAGCCGCGATAACAACTGCATTCAAGGATGTAAACCTCAGCGAAGGACTAAGATTACACTCACATCCAAATTGTTTGGGCACGAATCCAGAATTGAACTACATTCATAATATTTTGAATACATTAAGATCTGTCATAGTAAATGCTGCTCTTTATTAGAATTTTGCGAAGTGTAAAAGATTCATACTGTATTGATTTACTCTTGTATCTAAGCAGTTATTAATTTTTCCTTTTTTCAGAAATTAAAAACGATATGAAGAGAAATAGCGAAAAGGACTAGTCAAATATATGAAAAGAAATATCACTTCTCTATGATGGATCTCACTTTATACTAAATATTCTTAAAAAATCTGATAGGTATCCTCTATAACGATATTTTACTCTAAAACTTTTTAATTTGAGTTAGATAACCACATTTCATAAACAGACGATTCTAGTTTTGAATTATTTTCATCAATGACATAAGTACATCTTATGTATTTGAATTTGGATTTATGTGACAAGTTCTATTATCTTCTGCTGTATTTTCAATCTGAAAAGCAGCTGTTCGTGAATAATTATATACTACAGTATTAACATTGAATTGAAGTGGAAAAAACTATTTAATTTTTTTTGTATTTTTATTAGACGACCTTTGTTTTTTTTTCAAATTGCCGTGATACAGACATATATAAAAAAA